TCTCATTATTATTATAACTTCTCATCTTTTTTTCTTTCTTTTTATCATGTCMCTTTCTTCCTTGCTTTCTTTTTCAATTACCCTTAGCTCTTTCTATTGCAATACTACTTTATGCACATTCCCCCACCTTGATCCAAATATCAACCAATCCTTCTTAACATTTGTCCATGTTATCTAACTTAACTCAAGTAAAAATCCCAACTCCTACAATTTTTTTTTGTTTCATTTTTATTACAGACCATTTAGTGTATCACTTGAGAATCCCCATGTGATAGAGAAACATCAAGTCTGGGTTGGCGTGGTTACTAAAGCACCRGATGGAGCCACCTTAAATTCATCATTTGAATTCAGGTAAAAATTCTCAAAAGTCAGTAAGGACAGTAGAAATTGGTTGGGCACTGTACACTGGCCAATAATGGCTGAAAGCTGACAACATTATACCTCAATATTGAATGCATTTTCTAAAACCATGTTGGTGTTTCAGATCCACAGTTGAGTACATGAATGGGCTTGGTAACGCTATTGGTAAGATTTTTGCTTTGACTGTTATGACAATAGTATGACGTCATTTCTATTCATATCTCAGCCAATTTTGCTCGTATTGTCCCTAATGGTCTTTTGGTGTTCTTTCCATCGTATCCTGTCATGAACAAGTGTCTTGAACACTGGCAGGTAAGAGGATTTTAGTCCAGATCTTATTTAAGTTAATATGAAAAAATGTTTTAGTTTATCTCAAATTGATTCTTTAGACTACTKCAATATGGACGCGAATCTCCCAACACAAGCCAATGTTTGCAGAGCCTAAAGGCAAAGGCGATTTTGTACAGGTCTGTGGTCTTATATCATACTATGACTTGTTATRCATTYGGTACTATTCGCGCTCGTCCCTTACASAACTAAAGTAAATAAGAGCTCAGCAACTCTCTCAGCCCAGTTCATGAAAGCATTTTTAGGCAATTAAGGTCAGCCACAGTCTGGGCTCTCTTTCTTTAATTACTTTAYGCTTGCGCACTTCAGCTGTTCTGCTTACATCTTTCTCCACACYCGAACAACCTTGCTTAAACTCAACTTTRGTCTTCCACCACCGCGATAGCATTTKAGCCAGTGTGAACTGTCGCGAATAGTAAGCCATTTGTTGACTTGATTGACAAATTGCACTGCAAAAGTGCGGTTAAATAATTAGWCAATAGSAATTGGTTATCGTAGATGCATTTMTTTGGTTTTGGATCATTTCTTACTGSTTAATTGATGTAAATGGAAGTGATGGTTGATAAAGATATGTGAGAAATGAGGATACAATACGCCATTTGGGATTCGTTCCATTCATTCTCATTTTTCAGTCATTCGTTCATTTCACTTTTGGCAGGCGATGGAAGATTTTTATTCTAAGATCAACGATCCACAATTTAATGGAGCTACATTTTTTGCTGTCTGCAGAGGAAAGGTAAAAATAGCAATACATAAATCGCGYTTCCAAGTTTTTGAAGTCGACATTTTGCTGACTAAAACTGTGTTATTGATTATAWAATGGTGGGAACTAGCGGTAAACTAGTGTGAGCTGCGTCGGTGTTTCTAAAGAAACAGTTGTGTAAAGAAGATAAGTTTAACACCGTAAAAAAGTATGGGAAATAAAAAAATATTGATTATAAGATATTGTATATCATTAAAAAGAGTTCTTTTTAGGTCAGTGAGGGACTTGATTTCTCGGACATCAATGGTCGAGCAGTAGTGATCACTGGACTACCATTCCCTCCTAAAATGGATCCCAGGGTTAGTTATCCAGTGGTTTCCATTCTTTGATAAACAGAATTTTGCTTAACAGAATTTTTCTTGTGTCATAAAGGTTAATTTAAAAATGAACTTCCTGGACGAGATGCTGCGGAAAGAAAAAGGAAAAGTCAAGGTAGGTAGTTAAAAAAAATGATTGAATGAATGAATTGAAACACTGTCATCCTACTTTTTACCAGGGTCTGTCCGGCCGTGAATGGTACCGTCAGCAAGCATCTCGAGCTGTCAATCAAGCCATTGGACGAGTGATACGTCACAGACAAGACTACGGAGCCATTTTGCTATGCGACGTCAGATTCACTTACTCAGAAGCTCGTCAACAGCTTCCGTCGTGGGTTCGACCGCACGTGAAAATCTTCAAGGAATTTGGTCACGTGCATAGGGACCTCATTCAGTTCTTTAAAACTGCTGACAAACTAGTATGTAAAAATAACACATGTCAATATTCAGTCTAGTTCCCGAACGTTTCCTGTTTCAACTTTTCGTGACGTCACATTAATGAGACTTCTTTCGTTCTGTTAGTTTGTTATTTTATCGATAAATGATATTAGGTTGTAATACGTCTTTTCTTGTTAGTTCATGTTGCCTGTCCACTGCCTTTCCTTTCCTTGGGTTTTCATCTCTTTCTGGATCAGAAATATATGTTATTTACCGGCTGGGAGGTCCGTATAGGAAAACACTGCCCGAGGTCTTGACAGTACGGAACGAGCGCAGCGAGGTCCGTACATAAAAGACCAAGGGCAGTGTTTTCCTATACGGACCAACCTATAGCCGGTAAATAACATTTTTATTTTTTTTATTTGTATTTTATGCAACTTTTCTCGTAGCCTAGCTGCAGGATACCGTCGGACCGGGTAGATCGTGAAAAACCGGACCGCGCGCTAGCCAATCACAGCGCGCGAATGACTAGGATACCGGACCGAAAAAAATAAGACATTCTCTTATCCATTTCCTTTACATTGCTGGGTTTGGTTTTTTGCTGCTCCTTATCATTGTCTCGATCTCGTAGGATTGTTCTATTCCAGGTTGACAAAAGTGCAATGAAAGTCAAACAAAGCGTACCTGAAATGAAAGCTGACGTAGAATCTGACACCATTGAAGTACMATGTCAAATGTCTGCATCACAGCCGAGGTCAGAAAGCGCGATACAATTCACGCCTCGCTATCCCCCCTTACAACGGGAAGTCCCGAAGACTCGCGGGATAGAAGCACCATCCACCAAATGGGAAGGTAACCGAATAGTTATTTTAAGCGTTAATTTGACACACTTATCGTAATTTTTGCGAACAATACTGAAATAGACTATGTCCATTCTAGCATTTTCTTATTTAACAACCGATATTAATTTGCGAATTTCCAATATGATAACATATACAATTGACAACCTTTTTAGGACGTTGTACTGTTTGTAACACGCTATAAACGTTTAGGGGAATTGTCTGTTTTTGATAGTACTCAAACCTTAGTTACCAGTCTTAATCTTGGTGTATTTATTTCCTAGGCGCAAAGTCTTTAGCGCGTTTATCTGTTCAATATGAATCAAATTCCAAATCCCATGATGCAAATCGGCCGAGGAGCAGCGCATCCGGTTCGCAGGCATCTTCAGGGATATCTCGTGAAAAAACTAAACCAAGAAGCAGCTTAGTAGATTCACTCGCGTCATCTGAGGTATGTTCCACTTAAAGAATAAAGTGTCTTACTTCACGATAAGAATTATTATATTTTTGTTATTTTGTCTTTCGGTCTCTCTACTATCCAAAAATTCAAGCGTTCAAATTGTTTTCTCTCAATTGTAGGCATCGCGAAATTCTTTATTGTCTAATCAAGAAGACAGTGATGTAAGTGAATGTGGAACATGTCGTTGTGTTTTGCTTTGATATGTAGTCGTTGTTAGTTGTGATTTAATTGTTGTTTTTTATTTGTTGTTTATTGTCTTTTGTTTCTTTGTTTTTGTTTTCATGTTTTGCAACAGTTGCAATTCATTTCTATCGCATGCAGTTTGTTCTACTAATCAATAAGTCATTGGTCGCACAACTCATTGCTCATATRTTGTTGTTTCCTATTTTCTGGGTGGCATTTCACAAAATTTGCTTTTCATTTCAGTCCAAGCCGTCAATATCTGATTCCATCATTGGTAACAGAAAATTAGAAAGTCAGCACAGAACWAAGAAAGTTTATAAGGTGCGTAAAGAAGAGAATAAAATATCTTAACTCGGAGGTGACTGCTTTATTTAGTAGCTGCAATATTTTGTATACGCAATTTTGTGTCGATGTATTCGGTAGCCAGTATAGGAAAAAGAATTGCGCATACATCTCTAAGCTCGTGTAGACATTGCCTAAGAATCTCTTCTTCTCGCATTTGAGTTTCTTTAGAACTTCGTTTTGGAGTCTGAGAGACAGCAATATTATATGTCTGCATGTATCTTTTCATTGTTTTTTTTTTTTTACGTCTTTCCTAAAGATCGTCAAGTCAAAGGCTGAAAACGTAAATGACGAAGAAAAGGTAAAAAATCAATATTTCTTCCGCTTGCAGTAGGCCCAGTATCTAACAAAATCGTTCTTATTCAGAAACAAGTTTCTCAGCCGAAATCACAGAAGATGCTAGCAGCCAAAGAATATTTAGCTAAGGTATTGCATGAGAATGGTAAGATAGGATTAAAAACATTCAAAACAGCACACAGGTTTACGTACAAAACCTGCGATATTAAAAAAGAGAAATGTTTGGTAAAGAAAAAAAAATGTCTTCCATGCAATTATGTTTGATGATTATATATTTCTTCAGGTTCGACAAAGTCTCGGTGATGACAATTATCAAATTTTTTCAAAAGTTCTCATGCACTATAAAAAGGTGAGTGTTGCATATTTAACTTTTTAATTCATCTCACCGATCTCACCGTGATTCTTTCTTCTCCGTACCATATGAATCTGAAAATAGTCCTCTCGGTCCCCAAAGAGGAGGAAGCTAACCCTGCCCGCTAGGAGTAAATCTCCTGAAGTATCTTGGAAAGTGGTGATGGGAAATTCAAGTGTTTTCTTTTTGCATTATAGACAAACGACTTGCAAACATTGATAACTGGCTTGACGCCATTGTTCACTAAGGACCAGTCAAAGTATTATCTCTTCCTTGGTAAGAAATATCTTTTAAATTGCGCTGAATTTTCGGCATGTTTTGTTTGTGGTGTTACAATGGCTCAAGAATTATCATGGTTTTTCTCGTTATGATTTATTATTTCTGATCAGTTTTCAATTAACAGATTTTTCCAGTTATGTMCGGMATTGCGATGACAAATTAAAGTTCTTCAAAGCCTACAGAGATATTACTGGTCAAGGTAAGTGCGCTTTAAGAGAAAATTCTGACCACTATTTTCTCAGTTTTTGTCCAAATATTCTACAGTTTTCATTTAGCAGATATTATTATGTGTGTTTTTTCCTAGATGTACCTGCATCTTATCTAGAAGGAGTGAGAAATAAGAAACGCCAAGAACCTGATAGTGAACAGAGTAAGATTGACTTTAAATGGCATAATTTATTGGATTCAAAGTCCGTATAACGCTTTGTGGAAATGGCACAAAATTACATCAGTTAAACAACACTAAGACAAAGGATTTTGTACTGATTCGTACATTTTGCCAGTATGTTATTTCACGGATCWTAATTATTTCAAATAAATATACATAAGAGCATGCGTAACTATTGTAGGTAAATTACACATGCGCTGATTTGATCCTTGAGGCTATCCCACATGGCTGAGTGCTAAGTCATTCCAAATCCACTATACAAATTCCACTAATATCAATGAAATCAGAGTTCAAACTGCACATGAAGTAAGCAACAGCAGTGTAGCTTAGACGGTACAAAAGTTCGACGTCTGAACTATGGATTTTCTACTATTTACTTTGATTTATAAAGATCCGTCGGATGAAACCCAGGGGTAGAAAAGTTTTTTTTTTCAAGTATATTTTATAATAGATTGATAATTGGAATTTTTTTCTTTCAAGATTGTAAAGTTGGCAAAAGAATAAAGATCGAAGAAGACAGACAATCAGCTCAAAAAACGGTAAAGTATGGTTGGGTTGACTGTGGTTTATTTGGCACAGGTATCCCAGCTAAAATTAATTCCTCTTTTCTAGGGTTTCTCCAATGGAAATTTGGATGGTGCAACTGGATCAAAACATTTGACTCTTCTTGACAATATGACACATCTAAATGGAGGAAAATAATCGTTATCTATTTAGTTATATTATTAGTTCGATAGTCACGTTGTCACGAAATCCTCTCGCGTCACGAAAATCAACAATATACAAATTTATACTACGAATACGGAAATACAACTACATAGAATGGTATTTTTATAACATATAAGGAAAAAGACGCATATGTTTTGGAAAATATCAATATTGTTTTTGTTTTATTAAAAAAAATTACAATTTTAATACTTGTCTTATTAATAATTCAAAACTACTTGTTTTTAAATTAAAGAGTTAAGAAACTATACTATTCTYTCCCCCAGTGTATTTTTTCAACAACTTGACGACAAATATTTGTTAAATTGACGAAAAGAAGAAAGAAAGCAATCTCTAATATCAAGATTACGCTTTAAGAATGTTAAAGTTTTATGTAATGTYAACCAATGGTCCGTTAGCTCAGTCGGCAGAGCGTGGTGCTAATAACGCTAAGGTCAAGGGTTCGAGCCCCTTACGGACCATGATAGGTTTTTTTCCTTTTTTTTTTCTATACTAAAAATACCGTTTCTACCTTTTTTACCCCCATTCTTCATATTTGACTAATTTATCTCCGTAGGTTTTTAAAGAAAATTTGTTACAAACATATATTCCACAGGCATCCCAAACAACTTTTACAGAACCGCTGCAATACAGGAATATACCATCACAGGTGAATAGCTATTTCAAAACATTTTGTTGAAGTAGGACAAAATTCTCAAACAGAAAGTCACTGTGTTTATTCAATTTTACAATGTAACTCGTCTTCTGAAAAAACTAGCAAACTGACTATTATATCATGGAAGACTTTCATTAATTGTCCTAGTTCATTACGACGTCACATCAAAACATTCTATTGTTTTAATGCTAAGGATTATGGTCGCCAGAAGGGATCAGAGTGACTACATTTCAAATAAAATGTACATGAACAATCATTTATACATGATATATATCAAAACACGATTCATTGAAGTTCTACTTTAGTAGACAATAAATGKGTCCAAATTTACACTGTTTTCAGATGCAAACATACTGTGATGTAATACTRAAATAGGGCAATTGAAACGACAGTATTGACTGCCTTTGATTGGTAAATATTGCCGGCAATAGCTGTTGTAACTTTCTGCAAATGCATTATCCCATCATTGCACAACAAGTGGATRACAAATTTTTTGACAATTTCTTGTATTCTTTCCTCAGAGCAAAGAAAACCAGAAATGTGCTGTTTATATCAGCAAAAGRAACCTCAACATGCACAATCTAAGGAATAAACAAAAGAAATGTCTGGATAGCAGCACATGCCCTGSTAACTCAAGAACAGTAAGTGGAATTTTGCATAAAATCATGTTAAATGTACTCAGAAAACATCACAACTCAGATGTTACATTTTTATTTCCACAAAATCAATAATTATCAACTTTGTACTAAGTACTGTAGGTCCTGAAAAAAGAAAAAAAAAGCTTGTTAGAAACTGTAAAAATGACTACAGTCCAACATGAATGACACAAAAATTGACAAAAATAAAGTTTATAGAAGCGATAAGTACAAAGCCATATCAACAATAGGAAAAAAGTCCCTTTTTGGTATTTCTGCTACAGGCAGCCCAGGCAATATAAAAACACTGTAATAATATACATCATACTTACTTAGGGACTATGCCATCTCTTATTGCTAGATGGACCATAGAATCATCAGCTTCACCCTAAAATTAAGGCAATTCATGATTAAGTAGTTGACTTTGCAGTCCATTCTATTCAATACATTTACTACATAGATGGAAAAGAAGACAGTACAGAAGCTATTGTCTGTGGTATTTGGATGTATCAAGTTTTAGTGAAATGATATGGGCATTTTTAGAATGAGATCGATAAGCAAATTATTTTGTTATCAAAGGAAGGAATCAGGTTTGTTTCACATCAGGTGTATATTTCAAAACAAAGATGTGAAGAATAAAACTGATTCCTTCCTTTATTACTATATCACACATTAATTTGTCTCTTGAATGTTGTCATGTACAGTCATGTGCTTGTTTTCTCAAGCCAAATTCTCATTCTAACTKTTTCTATAGTACATCAATCGTTCAAAGAATTATGAAATTTGAAATCATCAAGGAGCTTTATTTTAGACAAAATGAATTAATTCATATTTTTTTACCTGTTTTCTTAAGAAACCAGAGAAAGCGTAGGTTTTTGAGCTACCGGTGAATCTTCCTGATTCATCAATCTATGTTATCAAAAAAAAGAAATTACTCTTGTTTTTGAATGCATTAAAATAAGAATTGTTAATTTTTTTCTGCTAAATTTTGAAATTGTAGTGGATTTTATTAATATAGGATAATGAAAATGGATTTATTATAAGAGGATGGCATAGACTAAAGTATTATTGGAATGTATACACTTCTACACACTAAGATAAATGTTTAAACTGCACATTTCWCTCTGCATTTCATGTGACGGGGAAATATGCTTATGAGAAAAGGCAAGAAAGAGTAAGATTGCAAATCTGAAAAACAAGGTATAAATTGAAGATTGGGTACCCAATTATGTCTGGCTTAGCCAACCTTTACAACTGTAAAGAGTTTGGTAAGTTTTAGTTCTGCAAGTTCACTAATCAAGCTAATTTAAGTACTAAGTGATGTTCTGATTAGCTGAAGAATTTCAAATGTTTGSCGTGGTTCAATCACCAAACTCAATCTAACCTTCTACTAGCAAAGCAATTTATGGACTACTTCAGTTTCATATTACTCACCTCCCCAACGTTTATCTGTACAGAAGCATGATCCTTAGCAGCAATCACTGAGTTTGTGACAGAGCTGTATATGAAATAAAAATATTATAAACTGGAAAAGAAACGAATTTTTAACGCATTTGCAACATCGTGGCCATCAGCAGTCGAGCTGATTCAACTAGTCGTGCTTTACTACTTTTACAACAGATAAGCCACTGAGAAAAAACATTAAAGCTTTTTTCAGTTTGGATTATAGTACTATTCTCACAAACAAACAGCGGTACCATTCCTTTACGCTATATTCAACACAGCTCGCAAATGCTGGATATATTAGAATGTTGTCTCACCATTTTCGAGGCAGGTACATATCAACATAATCTCCGGCTTCGTTCTGCATTTTGATATTTTCTATGGGGACAGATCAAAAGATTAGGTCTCACTTTATTATTMAACCAAGTTACAGCGGGATTGGTGCTTTAATAGTGGGGAAAAATACTTACAAATTTACACAACTACTCAGTGTTAAAACAAAGATGGCGGAAAAGAGAGAGAACAACGTGCGCGTTCCCATTAGGCCTTGCGCGCYTCTAGTAACCAGGCCCCTGTGAAAAGAAATATCTTAACACAGGGATCCTGACAGATTCATGACGAAAAAAAGGAAATTCAAAAATAGAGCAGTGCAGAGGACTCAGTTTGATTTAAAAATCAATTTACTAGAAAGGAAAAAAAAAAAGGATTGAAATAGTTTTTTTCTCCAACCAAATATGACTGGTATGAATGGACTGTATTTTGCCCATTATCATTTGAACAATTCTATATTTAGTTGATATCTCATGGTRTTCGCGTGTTTCATTGGTTGATAAAACAACAAAGCTCGTTTTAAAAAGTATTTCCATCGTGACGGTCCAAGGGTAGTTTCAGATTCATAAGTCGACATGTCGTTTTACAAACCATTTTTTGCATTTAGTCTTATAATTAMCGTGGTAAACGCCAACTATGATCAYTTTGTGGCTTTAGATCCAGCGCAAAAGCTGAAGCTCTACTGGAGYGTCAACAGCCCCGAGGAGGGCAGTATATCGTTCATGATCGAAGCTGAGACTACTGGCTGGGTTGGCCTGGGATTTACTCAAGGAACAGGCCGGATGAAAGGCGCTGACATTGTTATCGGTTGGGTTAAGGATGGCAAACCTTATCTAACTGTATGTTTCAATATACTTTACATTTTATCATGGTTCTTTAGTTGTAGTACTGATGCGTTACTATTGCTATACTTAATGCGCACTCAATATTTCGTTGTTTCGTTTATTTTATATACTATTAATGTATTTCAGCATATTTCATTTATCATAAAGTATATTTGAATGAAAATTCAGTATACAAAACGAAGGCATTATGCATGGCACTTGGTGCGAAGTAGCGAAATGAGTGACGAACAAATATATTCACACCTCCTCAAAACTGTCAAATCCACACGCCGATAACTTCACGGCAGAATTACATAACTATATGGCTATGTACTTCTGCTTCACGCACATAAACCTAATGATCAGTAATGAATTTATGTTCAGTATTTTTGATCAGTAAGACTCATGTAGGTTAATCTGACAATCTCTTTTGTAGTGATTTTAAATTGTTATTTATCATGACTTTATTCATTTGATATCAGACTTCATTACAAACTGAATAGCAAAAAAAATCAATCATGCAGCTCTTGATCTTGCATGAAGTTGTTAAAACCTTTCTAATGTTGATAAACTTCATTACAWAAA